CCCCCTCCTCCCCCCCTCCCCCTTCCCCCCTCCCCCCCCTCCCCCTCCCCCTCCCCCCTAGCGGCCGAGCCGCCCTTCCCCGGCCCCCTCCTCCGCGCAGGCGGAGGGCGTTGAGCTCTACCTCGACTCTGCCGCCACCGAAGCGGCGGCCGAGGCGGCGGCGGCGGCGGCGGCGGAGGGCGGCTCCCGCACGGCCCCCGCTGAGGAGGCTGGCGAGGTGGCTGGCGAGGCGCCGCCGCTGGCGCTGGTGGCGTGCGCGCCGAGCGGTGGCGACGGGTCGTTGGGCGTGCACTTGCTGCGGCGCGTCTCCGGAGCGCGAGACGGCAGCGCGCCCTAGAAGATGGACACGTGTTCCGCTGTATTCCTCGTAGCGCTCGAGGGGACACGCGTTCCGCTGTATTCGGCCGTACTCTCAGCCGAATTCACTGTAGTCGCACCCCTCGTCTTCACGCGGTGCTCTCAATACGCTGCACAATGCCGTATTCTCGTGCCCTCATGTCGGCGTATTCACACCGTATGCAGCGTGCTCCTCTCTGCCGAGGAGATCATTCCTAGACACTTCCTAGACACTTCCTAGACACTTCCTAGACACTTCCTAGGCAGCGCGCTCCTCTCTGCCGAGGAGATCGAGCCGATGCGGGCAGAGAGGCGCGCGAGGCTGGCGGCGGCGGAGAGGGCGGCGCAGGCGGCGGCCGCCGCCGCCGAGGCGAAGAAGAAGGAGGCGGAGGAGCGGGCGGCGGCACGCCGGGCGGCCGAAGACGGGGACGAGCCGTCGGCGCCCGCGGAGGAGCGGTACAACCCGTACTTGGCGCACCTCGCGCCGCGCAAGCGGGGGCGCGGGGCGGAGGAGGAGGAGGAGGAGTGGGAGGAGGAGGGGTGGTGACCATGCTCCATGGTGGTGACATCGGCGGGGCCGGCTGGAGGAGGGAAGTGGGGGTTTGTTCGTTCGTAGCACGAACCGCTCAAAAAACAAAGAAACTGGCGCCGCTAAACGGCGCTTGCTCTCTCGCCTGCCTCGCTTGAATTCGCCACAACGGCCCGCCGCCGATCCTGCCGCCGATGCCGCCTTGGCCGCCGCCGATCCTGCCGCCGAACGCCACTGAGCCGAACGCCACTGAGCCGAACGCCACTGAGCCGAACGCCACTGAGCCGAACGCCACTGAGCTCCTGCCGCCGCCGATCCTCCCGCCACTGAGCCCGCCGCCGAGCCTTTCGCCCAGCTCTCCACCGTGGTGGTCTGCTGACAAAATGGACGACGGCACGGCCACCGACTGGAACAGGACTGCTTACATAGCAGAGCAACGCTCCCCCAGCTCCACTACCACCACCATTGCCAGCGCGGCCGCAGAGTCCGCTCCACACCACTGGACCGCCGCTGCTTCGCTACAATTTCCTCCCGCCGCCGCTCGCAGGATCGCGTATTTCGTCGCCTACGCCCTCGCCGTCCTGTGCGCCACCACTCCTCATCGCCTGCCGAGTGCCGTCCCGCGCATGCTGAGAGAGTATTCATACTAAGAGGCCAGCGCTCTGCCTCGCGCCCGCCAGGTGCGCTGCCTTGGTGATGCTCTGCGTCGTGCGCCGCATCTGCCGCTACAAGTCGCCGCTGAGCCGCTGGTCCAGCTCGCGCTGGTCCAGCGTCCGCTACAGCGCCCGCCACAGCTTCCAGCGCAGCTTCCGGCACGCGCGCGGCAGCTCCGCGCGCTGGTCCGCCGCCGGTACCCCCACAGTGGAGCGCGTGCGCGCCCGCCACTCGACGGTGGACGTCGAGGCCGGCGTCGACCATCTCGAGGCGCACCTGAGGCGGCTGAGCTCCGAGAAGCTTCCACCCGCGTCCTTCGACGCGCCGGTCTCGACGGAGCCCTCGCTGGCGTCCGCGATCCTCGCGGCCTCGACCGGCGGCGCAGGTCTCTTGTCGCCGTCGTCGCTGAGGTCGAGGGCATACGCTGACCTACGCCCGGTGGAGAGGGGCGCTTTGCCAGAGGACGACGTGGCGGCGACCACTCCTCTGGTGGCCGGCCGCGAGGCAACGGCTTCGTCGGCGCCGCGCGAGGGCGGCCCGCCGCCGCGGTCGGCGACGGAGCGCCGGGCGGCGACGGAGCGCCCCAAGGGAGGTGGGACGGCCAAGCGCTTCCGGCGGCGCGCACCGTCGCCACCCCCCGGCGTCATGATACCCCCGGACACGGCGGCGCCGCCGCAGTGGAGCGCGCTTGAGTGGGTCACGCACCAAGAGAGCGGCTTCGCCCTATCCGTGCGCAGCTTCGACTCGACGTCGAGCCGCGGGCGCTCCAGCGGCTGGGCCGTCTATGCCGGAAGCGCGGACGAAGTCTCGTCGGGCGATGTTTCAGACGGGATCGCCAGGGCGAGCAGCGCAGCCCCCCGGCAGCAGCGTCCGCCATCCCGGCCGTTCGGACGCAAGTGATCGCAAGGACCTCGAGGAGTGAGCATCCTGAAAGGGCCGCTCGTCCAGAGGTGCCTCCCCCCCTCCTGATTTAGGGTAGTTCGCGCGCCGCCGCAGCCGCAGCGCCGCCTGTGCTTGCGCTGCGGCCTGCGCTGTGGCAGACAGACAGAGGGAGAGAGAGAGAGAGAGGCGAGGGCGGTCGAGTGGACGAGTGCACGGGGCTAAGTGCGTAACGTATCATACACTTACGTCCGGGGCCCCAGTTATATCCGGCTGCTTCCTACACATACTGATTCGCATCTCAGAAAGTGTGTATCGCGCGCCTTGCGGGGGGAGCAGGCTGAAGACACAACTTTCGCCGATCTTGAGCTTGAGGAGTATCAAAAAGCGGGGTGCGCTCACACAGAATGTCTCGACGTCTGGGTAGTAAAAGAGCAAAAGCTCGCTTGTGGGTGCTCACAGATATTGATTGATTGATGGGAAGGCGAAACACAGTCCGACCAACGACTGGGACACCAACGCGGTATGGGTGGACGCTAGACGGGCGATGACGGTCACACAGGAGGGAGCGACACACAGAACCACAAGACAAGACACTCAGCCGAACTGACTGCCACACATCCTGAGCGAACTTCCCTAGTCACCCGCGGCCGGACTCCATCCGGCACGCGTCGCTGGGCGCTCAGAGCTGCGTCCCCACAGATATTGATCGGAAGTCAGTCCTCCCGTGGCGCGTCTGAGCCGAACCCTCAGGGGGGCGAAGTGGCAATCGCTGGCAGCGCTGCGTCAGAGTTGTCGCCCTTCTGGCCCGAATGTTCGGGCATGTCGAGCCGCAGGGCGTCGTTCAGCCCATGTACGTGTCCGTGGTCGTCACCTGCCCCGGCTCGCGCATCGGAAAGGTCATCGGCCCGGGCGGCTCGGGCCTCCGCCACCTCTGGCGCCTCGCGCGTGTCCGAGCCCACGTGCCGAGGGAGGCGCTCGAGAACGGCGACCGCGAGATCCAGCTGACGGGCACGCCGGAGCAGGTGCAGCAGGCACAGCACATCATGGTGCAGATGATGTCGCAGCCCAGCCTCGCGCCCGTCACGGCGCCGGGCGGCATGATGGGGATGGGTGGCCGGCCTCTCGCACCGCACCCGGTCTCGGCAGCGCCGGTCGGGTCGGCGCGGCTGCTGCTCGAGTCGATCCGGGTCGGCCACCTGGTCGGCAAGGCGGGCGCCGGCCTGCGCGACATCCGCAAGGCGGAAGCAGCTCTAGACACTCTCCTAGACACTCTCCTAGACACACTTCCTAGACACTTCCTAGACATCCGCAAGGCGGAAGCGGCGCCCACGGTGGGACTGCAGCCTCCCCGACTGTGACCCCTGAGCCGCCACCCGGACTGGGTTTCGTTAGGAGAGCGGCGCCCACTTTGAGCTCGCGCGTGGCGAGTGGTTCGGTGGCCGCCTGCTCACGATCCGGCCTCCCGTGGCGAAGCAGCTGCGCTGCCTCGACCTCCTCTGCCGCAAGCTAGGCTCGGGGCCTAGACACTTCCTAGACACCTCCTAGACACGTCCTTGTTCACACCTCGACCTCCTCTGCCGCAAGCTAGGCTCGGGGCCGGAGCCCGCCAGCCGGCTCAAGCCCTATCACGCGTGTACGCTATCACGCGTGTACGCTTGACGGTGTATGGCATAGGATCGGGGCCGGAGCCCTCCAGCCTGCGCAGCCCAGACGGCACCTCCTGCCCCGTCCACCTGCGGGTGACGCCGCCCTAGACACTTCCTAGACATTTCCTAGACACTTCCTAGACATCTCTCGTCCACCTGCGGGTGACGCCGCCCCCATCGCGAGGCGGTCGGAGACGGCAGCGTACCGCAGGACAGCACCCGCTCGAGCCAATCGCAGGTGCTACTGCCCAGTGAGGCGGTCGGCAGCGTCGTCGGCAAGAGCGGCGCAGGGCTCAAGGTGCCGCCTGCTGGCGGGAGAGAGGTCTCCCCATATCTCCCCAACTCTCCCCATCTCTCAAGGTGCCGCCTACTAGCGGGAGAGAGACGCGAGCTCGAGTGCTAGCGAGTGGGCGGGCGGGGCGCAGGGCCCAAGAGCCCTCCTCCCCGCTCCTCGCGCCTCGCCGGAGCCGTCGAGTCTGCTCTGTCCTCCGCTAGCAAGTCTCCCCTATCTCACCACATCCCCGCTTGCAAGTCCCTCCTCGAGAGTGAGTGGATCCCTGACTCGTCGAGGACTCCTCTGCAAGGCCATATCTCCCCATATCTCCCCACATCTCCCCACATCTCCCCATATCTCACTCGTCGAGGACTCCTCTGCAAGGCCATATCTCCCCATATCTCCCCATATCTCCCCACATCTCCCCACATCTCACTCGTCGAGGACTCCTCTGCAAGGCCATATCTCCCCACATCTCCCCACATCTCCCCATATCTCACTTGTCGAGGACTCCTCTGCAAGGCCATATCTCCCCATATCTCCCCACATCTCCCCATATCTCACTCGTCGAGGACTCCTCTGCAAGGCCATATCTCCCCATATCTCCCCACATCTCCCCACATCTCCCCAGATCTCACTCGTCGAGGACTGCTCTGCAAGGCCCTCCGCGAGGCTGGCATCGCCCTCGAGCTGCCGAGGGAGGAGGAAGCGCAAGGGCGGAGGCTCCTCTGCGGCAGCCCTGAACAGCGTCTCTTCACACCTGCAGCTGTGACCAGGCGGCGCAAGGGTGGAGGCTCCTTTCCCTCTCGGGCCGACACCACGCGCTCCTGCGCCGCCACTACCAGCCTCCTCTTCTTGACTCGCAGCCTACTCTTGTCTGCAGGCCCCTCGCAAGTCTATCTCCCCCATATCTCCCCACATCTCCCCCATACCTCCCCATATCTCGTCTGCAGGCCCCTCGCAAGTCTATCTCCCCCATATCTCCCCACATCTCCCCCATACCTCCCCATATCTCGTCTGCAGGCCCCTCGCACGCGGTTTGCGCCGCGACCAGCGCCGTGCTCTCCAAGCTGGCCGAGTCGTCTGTCTCGATGATGGCGCCTCTCCACCCGCCGGCGGCGGTCCTCCCGCCAGGCATGTTCCTAGACACCTCCTAGACACCTCCTAGACACCTCCTAGGCACTTCCTTGCTCACACCTCGCACCTCCTCGCTCCTCCCGCCAGGCATGTTCCTGCCGGCGCAGCCTATACCGCGCCCGCCGAGCATGCAACCGCCGCCGATGCAGCAACCGATGCAGCTCTCGCCCATGCCGATGCCACAAGTCGCACCTATGCCGCAGCCGCACGCTCTGCCGGGCGGCGGCGCGGACGGCACGCCTTTGGCGGCGGCGCTCGGGGGGCTGCACTTGGGCCTTCCGCCGCCGCAGTCAGCGGTGCCCCGTCTTAGACACTTCCTAGACACTTCCCAGACACTTCCTTGTTCACACCTCCTTCCGCCGCCGCAGGCAGCGGTGCCCGCCGGGCCTGCCGGGCCCGCACCTCCGGCGGGGCCGGCAGACGCAAGCGTCCTCGCCCCGGCGACCGCCGCAAAAGAAGGAGTCGCCGCTTGCCGCCCCTCGCGTGAGCCTTCTTGGAGCCCTCTGTGCAGGCGACCGCGGCGGCGGACGATGGGATCTGGTTCAGCTGCGGCGGCGGGGACGAGGTGGGCGGGGCGGGGGCGGGGGCGGGGGCAGGCCGGGGGCCGTCGCCGCCGCAGCTCGCAGCTTCGGCGCCCAGCGAGTCCAAGGAGGTGTGAACAAGGAAGTGTTTAAGAAGTGTCCAGGAAGTGTCTAGGCGCCCAGCGAGTCCAAGGAGGAGCGGAGGAGCGCTGCGCCCCCCCCCCTCCCTGCCCATGCCCCCTCCCTGCGCATACCCCCCCTTCGGGCTTTCCTATCTCCCTCCTCCGCTCCGCCGTCCGATCGCCACAGTGGCGGGGTCTGGCGAGGTAGGTCTGCCGTCTTAGACACTTCCTAGACACTTCCTAGACACTTCCCACAGTGGCGAGGTCTGGCGAGGTAGGTCTGCCGTTTCGTCGTCTCGCGACTCCGCCGTCTCGCACCCGCGCGTGAGCACGAGCTGGGCGTAGCGGACGCCTTGCACGCACACACACACACACACACACACACACACACACACACACACACACACACACACACACACACACACACACACACACACCACAGCCGCGCGCGCTTCGTTGATCGATCTCCTCCCGTCAGCCCCTTAGCCTCTCCAAAGCACCTCTGAGTGATGAGCCCTCCTGCGCGTCGGCGCAGCTCCCCGGAGGTGCTCTCGCAGCCCCTTCTCCCCTCTCCTTTCAGATCCCTCCACCCTCCTTTCTCCCGTGCCCCTCTCCCGCCTCGTCCCTCACCCCCCTCGTGCACTCCAACACGGCCAACACGCCGTATTTCGTGTTCTCGCTGTCCGCGCTCTCGCAACGCGCGTCGGTTTTATTTTCAGACCGTCTTTATTTAATCGCGAAAAAACTCATGCGAAGCCCGCGGAAGAAATCATGACCACAGTCCGCGCACCGCGCGTGCACCTCCACTGACAGAGACGAGGCCTCACATGAGACACGGCATGGTGCCATGGTGCCCAGACACAGAGAGATACCCGAGAACCCCACGAGATGGAACAGGGGTACAGGCCGCCCGCGACGCCGGTCGCCGGCGCCGTGGATGAGCCATGCCGACACTCGGGCCCCGACGACAATACAGACCTAGCGACGCCCTCACCCCTCGCAGCGGACAGAGATCGCACACAGCGGCACACCGTAAACATCCTAGCCCGTTCCCCAGAGGGTCAACTGCACAGAGGGGACTCGACACGCGGGGTGGGACCGACGGCGGGCGCAGACATCTAGCTTGCCCTCCCCCTCACCCCCACCCCAACCCCCTCCCCCTCCCTCCCGCAGGGGGGCACATGCGTCAAGCAGAGATCGCGCTCTCCCACGCCCCCTACCCCTTCCAGGCGGGAATCGCGCGGCGGTAGGGGGCGGGAAATGCGCTGCTCCGAGGAAACCGCCTCTCACCACCACACGCTCTGCGGCCTCGCTTCCGCCGGGGCCTCCGCCACTCCGCGCTTCTCCGCGGCACGGATGATCTGCAGCCGCAGCCGCACCTGTTCACAGCGGGCGGTGTGAAGAGACGCTGCTCACGCGGTGCGACTCATATCGCAGCCTCCGCCGCACCGCCCCCTCGAGACCTCGAGAGGCCGCCTCGAGACCCGACCGCAGCGCAGCGACGTGGGGGCCTGCGGCGGCGACGGCAGCGGCGGCGGCGGAGGAGGCGTTTCCAGCGAGGGCGGCGCCGGCGCCGGGGAGGGCGGCGAGGGCGGCGCCAGCGGCGGCGGCGACGCATTTGCCTGAAGCGGCCAGCTTTCGGCCGCGCCGCGCCGCCTCCTTGGACCAGTTGGCTGCCGCGGAGGAGAGGGCAGACGCGGCGGCGGAGAGGGCGGGGGCCGAGCGCTGCCTGGCCGTCGCCGAGGCGTTGGCCGCCGCCGCCGCCGCCCAAGCCGTCCCCGCCTTGGCCGTGTGCGCGGATGCCGCCGCCGCTGTTGCTGCCGCCGTCGCAGCGGCGCGGAGCAGCGCCGCGCCGGAAGCGGCGCCGCGCGAGGCTTGCTTGGACGCGCTCGCCGCCGCGGCAGAAAGCGTCGCCGCGCCTGCAGACGCGCCGCGAGACACCTGCCGGCCAGTCGCCAGGCCTGCGCCGCGAGCCCACTGCGCGGCGCCGGCAGAGGCGTTTGCGGTGATGGCGGGCAGCAGCTCTGCTTTGGCGGAGATGGCGCGCACGCCCACCACAAAGGCGTGCGGCGGGGGCGGGGCGGGCGTGGCGACCGCGACCGCGACCGCCGAGGGGCGGAAAAGTAGGCCGAGGCCGACGCCCGACGCGAGCAGGAGGAGGAGGCCGAGCAGGACGGGGCGTGGGGCAGCTGGCCGCTTGTTCGGGGCGGGCGCCGGCTCCTTATCCGGCGCCGCGGGCGCCAAATCCTTGGCCGGCGCCGCCGGCGCCAAGTCCTTGGCCTCGACTTCGTCGAAAGTCGGCGGCGTGGGCGGAGGCGAGGGTGGCGGCAGTGGCGAGGGTGGCGGCGGCGGCTCTGGCGACGGGAGAGCCTGCGCTGCGAGGTCCGATTGGGGCGACGGTGGAACGGCCGTAGTCGGCGACTCCGGCGCCACGGCGGGCGGGGCGGCCGCAGAGATGTCCTCCTCCTCCGCCGGCACCATCTCAGAGATGTCCTGCGCATCGGCAATCGACTCGAAAGATGATTCGTCGTCGTGCTCCTCTGCCTCCTGCTTCAACGTCTCGGCGGCGGCGCGAGCCGCAGAAGACTCAATGAGCGCCGCGAGCTTCTCACGCTGGCTACCAGCAAGCATTGGAGGCACGGAATGGAGGATGATGCAGCGTATCCGCACGTTTTTCTTCTCGCAAAACACTGGTGCAAGCTTCCTCGCTCCCAACCACCACGCTGCGCCGGCAGATCCGGGAGTGGGAAGAGGCGAACGCATGCTGAAGAGCGCAGCGCACTTGCGCCGCCCGCCCCGCCCCCAGGCCGTCGCCGCGGGCGCGTACCAGTGCCAGCAGGATGGACCAGAGGCGGTCGACGTACGACGATGGAAGGGTCGGAGGTGCCCTTGGAGCGGATCGTGCGCAGCGAGAGTAGCCACAGCGACAGGCAGATTGTCAGCGTGATCAAGACCTGCCTGGCCCAGGGGCCAGGGATCGTGCCAGCAGCCCCGAGGATCGGGGACGCAGCTCGCCACCGATGTGTATCGCAGCCAAACAGCGGACAGCGTCGCGATCTGAGCCACGGAGCCGAGAAGCGCCGCCTGGACGGTGGGAGGCGCGACCGTGCCCGTCTCTGGCAAGCTTTCGCGGTAAACGGCTTGCCAGGGGCGGGCGGGGGCCCGGCGGTCGAGTGCACGGGAAAAAGAAGAAAGAAAAGCACCGAACGGCACGCCGCCACCACACAGGGATTTTAATGAGTGCACGGAGGTAAGTGCCAGTGGCCACTCAGTTTCTTTTCGTCGCGGTGGGGTGGGGATGTCGGGGTGGGGAGTGGGTGGGCGCCGGAGTGGGAGTGGTGGTGTGACTGCTCCTGTGGTGCGGGCGACGGCTTCTGAGGAAGCCGTCGCCAGCGCCTCGCTTGTCGCGTGAATCGTGTCGTGCCATCTTGCCTGGTAAAATTCTTTTCGCGGCGTTTGTTTAAATTCTTTTCGTCGCGATGTTTGCCCCGCGGCGCCGCTCGCGCCGCCTCGCCGCCGCCGCCGCCGCCGCCGCACACTGCCCCCTCACCGACCTGCCCCTCGAGCTTCTCGCGCGCGTCATCTCCCGCTGCGACCCCGCCGACATCGCTCGCGTCGCGGCCGTCTCGCTGCTCTTCCACGCCTCGCTTGCGCTGGAGGGCATCCGCTTGCGCTTGCGCCTGCAAGAGGCCGGCTACGAGCCGCCGGCGCAGCCAGAGGGCGAGAGCTGCGCCGTGCGGTGGCTGTGCTTCTATGCCTTGCTGTGTGAGGCCAACCCGCCGGCGAGGCTGGCGGCGGGCGCACGGCACAGCCTCTTCATCGACGGCGAGGGGCTGCTCTCGTCGTGCGGCGCGGCAGCGGAGAGCGAGGAGGACGAGGAGGACGAAGAGGAGGACCGGGAGGAGTTTCCAGGCCTTCTCGGCCACGGCGAGGGCGTGCTTCAGCTGAAGACGCCGACCCGTCTCCCTTCCCCGCTTGGCGGCGAGCGCGCAATTTGTGTGGCGGCGTCACGATACTTCAGCCTCGCTCTCTCCGCGGACGGCGCCCTTTGGTCCTGGGGCAGCGGCGGGGACGGCGAGCTGGGCCACGGCGGCGACCGGCAGGACCAGTGGCAGCCCAAGAAGATGGAGGCCTTTGCTGGCCAGCGCGTCGTCGCTGTTTCGGTTGGACTGTACCACAGCCTCACCCTCACCGCCGACGGCGCCGTCTGGAGCTGGGGCCGTGGAGCCTGTGGCAAGTTGGGCCACGGCGACCAGCAGGACCAGCTGCTGCCAATGAAGATCGAGGCCTTAGCTGGCCAGCGCGTCGTCGCTGTGTCGGCTGGAGGCGGCCACAGCCTCGCCCTCACCGCCGACAGCGCTGTCTGGAGCTGGGGCTGGGGAGGCCTTGGTAGGCTGGGCCACGGCGACGAGCAGAGGCAGCTGCTGCCGAAGAAGATCGAGGCTCTGGCTGACCAGCGCATCGTCGCTGTGACAGTTGGAGGCGACCACAGCCTCGCCCTTACCGCCAACGGCGCCGTCTGGAGCTGGGGCTATGGAGTCTGTGGCCGGTTGGGCCACGGCGACGAGCAGCGCCAGCTGCTGCCCAAGAAGGTTGAGGCCTTTGCTGGCCAGCGCGTCGTCGCTGTCTCGGCTGGAGGCCACCACGGCATCGCCCGCACCGCCGACGGCGCCGTCTTCACCTGGGGCAAGGGCGAGGACGGCTGCCTAGGCCACGGAGAGGACCTGTCGAACCAGCTGCTGCCCAAGAAGATCGAGGTGTGGTCGCAGGAGTGAGAGGGGGGCGAGGGGCGCGTGGCTGATAGGAGTACGACTCGAGAGTACGACCGGCTCGGGAGAGGCCAATATTTGGATGTGGGAGGGCTGGCCAAGCGGAAGCGCTAGTTCCCTAGAGCTACCGATCTGAGGTAGTGTGCGGGCTAAATAAATTCTTTTTCTGCGGCGAGAAAGAAAGAAAACAGACACCCCAATTGAATCGTGTTTATTCGTAAAATTCTTTTTGCGATGTCCACCCCGCCGCGCCGCCGCTCGCGCCGCCTCGCCTCCACCGCCTCCGCCGCCCCCTCGCCAGACACGCCGCCGCCCACCCGCCTCCTCGACCTCCCCACGGAGCTCCTCGCGCGCGCCCTCTCTCGCTGCGACCCCGCCGACATCGCTCGCGTCGCGGCCGTCTCGCTCCTCTTCCACGCCTCGCTTGCGCTGGAGGCCATCCGCTTGCGCCTGCAAGAGGCCGGCTACGAGCTGCCGGCGCAGTCAGAGGGCGAGAGCTGCGCCGTGCGGTGGCTGTGCTTCTATGCCTTGCTGTGCGAGGCCAACCCGCCGGCGAGGCTGGCGGCGGGCGCACGGCACAGCCTCTTCATCGACGGCGAGGGGCTGCTCTCGTCGTGCGGCGCGGCAGCGGAGAGCGAGGAGGACGAGGAGGACGAAGAGGAGGACCGGGAGGAGTTTCCAGGCCTTCTCGGCCACGGCGAGGGCGTGCTTCAGCTGAAGACGCCGACCCGTCTCCCTTCCCCGCTTGGCGGCGAGCGCGCAATTTGTGTGGCGGCGTCACGATACTTCAGCCTCGCTCTCTCCGCGGACGGCGCCCTTTGGTCCTGGGGCAGCGGCGGGGGCGGCAAGCTGGGACACGGCGACGAGCAGCACCAGCTGCTGCCAATGAAGATCGAGGCCTTGGTTGGCCAGCGCATCGTCGCTGTGTCGGCTGAAGGCTTCCACAGCCTCGCGCTCACCGCCGACGGCGCGCTCTGGAGCTGGGGATGGGGAGAGGATGGCATGCTGGGCCACGGCGACGGGCAGGAGCAGCTGCAGCCGAAGAAGGTCGAGGCCTTCGCTGGCCAGCACGTCGTCGCTGTGTCGGCTGGAGATGCTCACAGCCTCGCCATCACCGCCGACGGCGCCGTCTGGAGCTGGGGCTTTGGAGGCGACGGTAGGCTGGGCCACGGCGACCAGCAGAGCCAGCTGCTGCCAAAGAAGATCGAAGCCTTTGCTGGCCAGCGCGTCCTCGCTGTGTCGGCTGGACTGTACCACAGCATCGCCCTCACCGCCGACAGCGCTGTCTGGAGCTGGGGCTATGGAGGGCAAGGCCAGCTGGGCCACGGCGACCAGGAGCTGCAGCTGCTGCCGAAGAAGATCGAGGCTCTGGCTGACCAGCGCATCGTCGCTGTGTCGGCTGGAGCGTACCACAGCATTGCCCTCGCCGCCGACGGCGCTGTCTGGAGCTGGGGCGATGGAGACTATGGCAAGCTGGGCCACGGCGACGAGCAGCGCCAGCTGCTGCCCAAGAAGGTCGAGGCCTTTGCTGGGCAGCGCATCATCGCTGTGTCGACTGGAGGCCACCACAACCTCGCCCGCACCGCCGACGGCGCCGTCTTCACCTGGGGCGCGGGCGAGGACGGCTGCCTAGGCCACGGAGAGGACCTGTCGAACCAGCTGCTGCCCAAGAAGATCGAGGTGTGGTCGAAGGAGTGAGCGGGTTTCGAGGGGCGCGTGGCTGGTATAGGAGTGCGACCGACTCGGGAGAGGCCAAGATCCAGATGGGGTGGAGCGGCTTACACCCTCGCGGCTCCCGCGGTCTCGAGCGCGCGCCTCGGCCCGGAGATCGCAGTACGCAGAATCGACGTGTGCTTGTGTACTTTACGCGGTGTACATACAAAGAGCACAAAAGACGGCCAGGCAGAGCGAGCACACCCCGCGCGCGCAAGGCTAAGGGCGGGAAAGGGAATCGCTCTGGCAGTACCAGAGGTGGCGCTCTGCCTAAAGGTGGGTTCTGGCAGATGGCAAGAGACAGTAGATTCATCTCGTCCCCGGCGGCGTCCCCGCCGCCCCGCCTCCAGCCGCCCCCTCCGCCTTGGGCTTGACGCCCGCGCGGTAGAACTCGAACTTGGGCTTGGCGTTGGCTGCCGCCGCCTCCCTCTCCCGCGCCTCGCGCTCCTCCTCCTCCCTCTCTTCCTCCTCCAGCCGCGCCCCCGCAGCCTGCGGCAGCAGCCCCTGCCGCTTCGCCAGTCGCAGCTGCTGCCGGCGGTACTCGTCAAAGGCCTACAGGGAAGTCGAGGAGGCTCCGAGGAGGCTCCCGCGCCACACCCGCGTGCGCCACCCGCCGACCGCCGACTCGCTCTCGGGGTGGGGCGAGCGGAGCAGGCGGACGCGGCCGGGCTCGGCGACCCACAGCTCCTCGCAGATCGAGGTGACGAGGTGCTCGTCGTGGGAGATGACGAGCAGCCCGCACCTGTGGTACACGTCCCCGCCACATCACCGACCGCGGACATGCACATGTCCCACCGTGCGGGGCAGGAGCGCCGCACTCGCACTCTTGCAGCGCGTGGATCAGCGCCTCCACCTGCGGGCCGAATGCTCCAGGACCACTCAGACGACGGGTCGCGGACGCGTGGCGAAGACCAGCGCCTCCACCGCGTCGAGGTCGAGTGATCTCGGGTAATCTCGGGTAATCTCCACCGCGTCGAGTATTGATTCACGGAATCCTTCGCAGGAGGTCGTACCCACGAGAGGACCTCGGTGCATGATCTGCGCAAAGGCGACCTAAACAACGAAAGACACGGCGCCGTTCGTCAGCCACGAGTCGACCCCTCTCCTGCCACCCGTTCGCGGGCGACCCTCGACTTTTGGCCGCCAGACAGGGTCGACATCTTTTGGAGCGCCGTGTTGCCGCCGAGGCCCATCGATCCGAGGTGGGCCTACAGGAAGGTTCCAGGAAGGTTCTAGGAAAGGTCTAGGAAAGGCCGAGGCCCATCGACCCGAGGTGGGCCCGGATCTCGAGCGGCTTGGCGGCGGGGAACTGCCTCTGGAACGCCTCGAGCGCGGTGAGGGAGAGGTCGAGCTGGTCGACGTGGTGCTGGCTGAATCGGCCTGCGGGACGCGTCGAGGACGTGTCGGTGACGTGCCGTGGGGAAGGCCGACGTGCTGCCGAGAAGCAACCCATGCGCAGCCGCGCGGCGCGGGTGACGCTGCCGCGGCTCGGCTCGAGGTCGCCGATGATGACCTAGACAAGCAGCGACTAGGAGATGTCTAGGGAGCGTCCAGGAGGTGTCTAGGAAGTGTCTCGAGGTCGCCCCCGATGACCCACGGCCGTGCCGCGCGGCGAGAGCGTGCCGCGCAGGGCTGTGGCCTTGAGCAGCGTCGACTTGCCCCATATCTCCCCATATCTCCCCGTATCTCCCCATATCTCTGGCCTTGAGGAGCGTCGACTTGCCGATGCCGTTTGGCCCGACGAGGGCGACGCGCGAGCTCATGTCGAGGCCGAGGTTGACGCGCGAGAAAAGGGCCGGCTTGCCTGCGGGACGGGGATGTGGGGAGATGTGGGGAGATATGGTGACGTGTCACGGGGACGTGACGTGTCACGGACGAGCCGCGGGCGGAGGGAGGGGGAGGGGCAGGGGGGGGAGGGGGGGGGGGGGGGGCGGCTTGCCGGGGTAGCTGAACGCGACGTCCACCACTTGCAGGACAGGCGACGAGATCGGCTCGGGGGGAGGGAAGGCGAAGCGAAGGGACGGGTCCTCGAGGATCTCGGCCACGCACTCCATCCGGTTCATCGCCTTGATGCGAGACTGCACCATGGCGGCGCGGTTGGCCGAGGCGCGGAACTTGTTGATGAAGGACTGCATGTGCTGCCGCGCCTGCTCGCAAACTGGAGATATGGGGAGATATGGGGAGATGCATGTGCTGCCGCGCCTGCTCGCAAACTGGAGATATGGGGAGATATGGGGAGATGCATGTGCTGCCGCGCCTGCTCGCACACTGGAGATATGGGGAGATATGGGGAGATGCATGTGCTGCCGCGCCTGCTCGCAAACTGGAGATATGGGGAGATATGGGGAGATGCATGTGCTGCCGCGCCTGCTCGCAAACTGGAGATATGGGGAGATATGGGGAGATGCATGTGCTGCCGCGCCTGCTCGCAAACTGGCTGTGTGCTGCCCTCACTCTGCCAGACTCCGAGGTCGACCTCTCTCTCCTTGGAGAGATATGGGGGAGATATGGGGAGATATGGGGGAGATAGACTCCGAGGTCGACCTCTCTCTCCTTGGCATGCGCTGCCGCGCCTTGTCCTGCGCCTCGCGCCTCGCCTCGTTGGCGCGCAGCGCCTCGGCGCGGCTGATCTCGAACTTGTCGTAGTCGCCCTTGTACCTGCGCAAGCGAGGGGGGGGGGGAGGGGGGGGTGTCACACGGAAGAGAGCTGCGCGCTGGCCGTCGGCGCAGCTGCGCACCGCACGATCTTCTTGTCGCCCGAGAAGTGGAGGATGTCGCTGACCACGCGGTTGAGGAAGGAGCGCGCGTGCGACACGACGACGAGCGTCTTGTCCCAGCCCTGCAGGTACGTCTCGAGCCTAGACACCTCCGAGACACCTCCGAGACACCTCCGAGACACCTCCTCCCGCAAGTGCGTCTCGAGCCAGAGCACGGCGTGCAAGTCGAGGTGGTTGGTCGGCTCGTCGAGCAGCAGCACCTATTCACAACCACAACAACTCATCACAAGCTCGGGTCATCTCGGGCAATGCTCGTCGAGCAGCAGCACGTCCGGCGCGACGAAGAGCGCGCGGGCGAGGGCGACGCGCATTCTCCACCCGCCGGAGAAGGAGCCGGTCGGCCGTGCCTGCATCTCCGCGTCGAAGCCTAGCCCGGCGAGGATCGCAACTGGGGTCCGAGATTCGGGGAGATATGGATCTCTGCTGCATCTCGGCGTCGAAGCCTAGCCCGGCCAGGATCGCCCCCGCGCGGCCGGGCGCCGAGGCCGAGTCGATCTCCTCGAGCCGCTCGATCACCTCGAGATATGAGGAGATGTGGGGAGATGTGGGGAGATGTGGGGAGAGACGGGGAGAGACGGGGAGAGACGGGGAGAGACGGGTCCTCGATCACCTCGCCCAGCCGCGCCACCCTCTCTGCCTCGTCCGCCGCGTCGTCGGCATCCGCCTCGCCCTCCTATTCATGAAGGAGCACGCGGCATCACTCATCCCACGCATGGGCGGGTGGCCTCGTCCGGCTCGCCCGCCTTGCCCTCCCCCTCCTCCGCCTCCGCCAGCAGCTCCGCCTCCTCCGCCAGCAGCTCCGCACGCTCCACGTCGGTCGCCAGCACCGTCTCGAGGACGGTCGCCTCGCCCGACGGCACCTCCTGCTCGATGTGCAGGATCTGCAGGTGCGCGGGCACGCCGTCGAAGCGGTGCGCCGACAGGAACTTGAGAAACGTCGTCTTGCCGACGCCGTTCCTGCCGATGAGCCCTCATGAGGTTGATTAGTAGTTAATCAGTAGTTAATTAGTAGTTAATTAAGCCGTTCCTGCCGATGAGCCCATACTTGCGGCCGGAGACGATGGAAACGTCCACCTCGTCGAGGAGGGAGAGGCCGTTAATTAGCGTTCATTAGCGTTCATTAGTGTTCATTAGTGTTCATTAGTGTTCATTAGTGTTCATTAGTGTTCATTAGTGTTCATTAGCGTTCATTAGTGTCGCCTCGTCGAGGAGGGAGAGGCCGTTAATTAGCGTTCATTAGTGTTCATTAGTGTTCATTAGTGTTCATTAGTGTTCATTAGTGTTCATTAGTGTTCATTAGTGTTCATTAGTGTTCATTAGTGGTCATTAGTGGTCATTAGTGGTCATTAGTGGTCATTAGTGGTCATTAGTGGTCATTAGTGGTCATTAGTGGTCATTAGTGGTCATTAGTGGTCATTAGTGGTCATTAGTGGTCATTAGTGGTCATTAGTGGTCATTAGTGGTCATTAGTGGTCATTAGTGGTCATTAGTGGTCATTAGTGGTCATTAGTGGTCATTAGTGGTCATTAGTGGTCATTAGTGGTCATTAGTGGTCATTAGTGGTCATTAGTGGTCATTAGTGTTCATTAGTGGTCATTAGTGTTCATTAGTGGTCATTAGTGTTCATTAGTGTTCATTAGTGTCGCCTCGTCGAGGAGTGCGAGGCCGTTGATGTCCATCGACACGCCCTTGAGCAGCATGTCGGACGAGCCCCCTCCCCCGCCGCGCCAGTGCAGCACGACCGGCTCGCGGGTCAGCTCCCGCATGAACTCCTCGCGCTGCATGTTGATCGCCTTCTCGCGGCGGGCGGCCCGCTTGAGCTGCTTCTCCGCCCTCCGCGCCTGCTTGAAGCGGCGGGCGACCGCCTCCTCGCTCTCGTCCTCCTACAGGCGAGGGTCCAGGAAGGTCCGACGGCGCCGTCCCGCTCGCCCTACACCTCGCTCCTCGCTCCTCGCTCCTCGATCAGCGAGTTGACGGGTCCGCCGTGAGAGATGTTGTTGTTGATGTTCACTCGCACCGGACCCATGTCCTTGGCGACCTCGGCCACAGCCTGCTCCTCGTCCGCCGTCACCAGCGCCAGCATGTTGACGGCGGCGCCGAGCGTGCGCAGCTCCGGAGCGGGAGCCGGAGCGGCGGCGGCGGCTTCAGACGTGCCGCTCAGCGCCGCCAGCAGCGCTGCGCACAACGGCTCGGCCGCCGCCTCGTCTGCAGCCACTCCGACATCGACCAGCAGCGGGCCAACCGCGCCGGCGACGTCCTCGTCTGCCTCCCCGGAGGACGCGTCAGCCAGCAGCTCCTCTATGTACTCGCCGACGCCAGCTTCGTCTAGCGTGGCGACGCCCGCCTCGCCGAGCGTGGCCAGCAGAGCCTCCCGCGGCGTCGGCATGCAGTCAGTCCCTGACACTTTGACCGCGAAGTGCGGGTGGTTGGCCAGACGGGCGAACGAGCCAGAGCCGAACCCGAAACTGGTGGGGCGCGCAGCGCGGCCACACCAGAAGAATTCTGTTCAACATCCTGAACCCGCGGGATCCGGAACCGCCCCGAGAGAGAGAGAGAGAGAGAGAGAGAGAGAGAGAGAGAGAGAGAGCCCCGCCGGAGGCTGGAGTACCCGGGAGGCGGAGCTGGGGGAGGGGAGTTGCCGCAATACGATAACGGGCCCGCCGGCGAGCCGGAAGGCCGAGGCCGGAGGGCCCCAGGGGGGGCCGCTTGGGGTCAGTTGTCGGAGGAGGCGAGAGATGAGCTGACGCGGCCTCTGCGAGTGGAGTCGGGACGTACGAGCTCACCGGGGGGAGGCCCGTCGCAGTGGCAGCCGGACCACATCTCCGATCTCCATCTTCAATCTCCAATCTGAGGGAGGGTGTAGAGGATGTAGAGTGTAGAGCGCTGTAGAGCTGTAGAGATGTAGAGCGCTGTAGAGCTGTAGAGCTCTACATCCGCCGCGTGACGAACTGCGTGCGTTGTAGAGCGATGTAGAGCGCGATTTTGCTGTAGAGTTTGTTGTAGAGGCTCTACAGCCAAACCGCCGGGAAGGCAGTGGCTTAAAGAGGTCGAGCCGCGCTAATGGGGTGTCTCCCAGCTTACTGGAGCTCTGATGGACGGCCCTGACTACACAGAGAGTCACTCTGACGGCACACAACACCCTATAACTGCGTCATGACCAGCCTGCCATGTGTCGCCGGTGCCGCATTCGTCGCTGTGCTTCGTTAGCAGGCGGTGGACTGTCGGCTGCGAGGACGGTCGCATTTGCGCGAGGCGAGGCGAGCATTCAGGCGCATTGCATGCGCCATGACTCGCGCCAGCGCGTGCGGGAGCTCCTGGCTGAGCGTTGAGTCCAGGCGAGTTGCGCTGGCCACTATCGCTACGCCGAGCCGAGCTGACGCGCCGAGGCGCCGGCCAGTCGCAGCCGTGAGGCATGCCACAGCAGCAGAGGCACCTGCCACCCATTGGGCGGGCAGACAGAAGGCCAGGGCAGCACTGGCAAGTGCAACGCGCCTCATGTCGGAGAGCGACCGTGCCTCGTTCGCCGCTTATCATGTAGAGTTTGTTGTAGAGATTTCACGTTGTAGAGCGCCTCTACATCGCTCTACAACGCACGCAGTTCGTCACGCGGCGGATGTAGAGCTCTACAGCTCTACAGCGCTCCAGAGCGCTCTACATCTCTACAGCTCTACAGCGCTCTACACTCTACCTTCTCTGGGGAAAGTTATTTAGGACCACCCCGGTTTCGGACATCGGCGAACGATTGGACGGTGCCTCAACTGAGCCAAATGGAGCCCTGTGATGTGGGACCTCACTCCCAGAAGCTTGGAGCTTCAGGCCGCGACCACGTGGCTAGGTGGACACTAAAGTGCCATTTTGGCGCCAAATCTTGGCGGGAAATGACACGTGGTTTGGCGGGAGTGTGGTTTGCCTGCGCTGCTCGACAGCGTTGCTGTTGAGCGCCAGCTGCTGCTCCCTTCAGCCAGACGGCCGGGCCTGCGCAGCACGACCGCTGGCCTTCCTCCTGCACCACAGGAGCGCGCCAAAGCGCGCGTCTGGGCAAGCAGTGCGTCTCATCGCGATGCGAGAGTCGACGCTGTGACGCCGCCGCTCGCCGGCTAGAATGACAGTGGCAGCATTCGAGTACGCGTCGAGCTGTGCGTACCAGCACTCGTATGCGAGCTAATTGTGTCCCTGAGCTGCTGTGGGGTGCGTGGGCTCAGCTGCGGAGCACGTACTGGGCGGCGGTAGGGGGGTGGTCCTAAATAACTTTCCCCAGAGAAGGTACATCCTCTACACCCTCCCTCAGTCTCCAATCTCCAACGTCGTCATCTTAGGCCGGATTCAGTCAGATCTCCGATCTCCATCTCCAATCTCCAATCTCCAATCTCGATTCGGGGGCCCGGGGGAGGAGGGGGGCTCAAACCTTCGATCATGCTCGAACCGGGCGACGCCCTCGTCTTCAAAGCGGGCGAGCTGTGCCATGGCGGCGACGGCCTCGGCCAGGGTGAGGCCATGAGGTGCGCGCTCTTCTTCTACGTGGGACACGGCGTCACGGAGGATGTCGTCGAGCAGAGCTTCGAGTGCGAGTGGGGGTCGCTGGCGAAGTGGGCGCAGGCCCTGCCCATGGAGGGGTTGGTTGCGGCGCTGCGGAAGCTCGAGGTCGAGAAGGTGGGCGAGATCATCACCGAGTTACACGGCCGCCTGCTCACGGGGGACGCGGCACAGCGGCCCAGGCTCGGGGCGGGGGCTGCGGTGACGGTCCTGCGCGGCCTCGGGCGGGTGACAAGGCGAGTGGCGTCGCCTCCGGTGCTGGCTGCAGTAGGGGCGGGGAGGTGGCCATCCGAGGCGCCCATCATGCTGTACAGCGCGCGGCTGGCGGTGGCGGTCGCGGATACGCTCGACCGCGGCACCACGGGCGTCGAGGAGCCGATGCGCGACATCATGCATGCGCTGGCACCGGCGCTCCGCCCCATGACAGGAGGAGCCCTCTACGTCCTGCACCTGGGGGACGGCAGCGAGAAGCTCAAGGTGCGGCCCGCTCGGACGCCGACATGCGACGCCATCGCTGGCCTCCTCGAGTGGGGGCGACTGCGCATGCCGGACCTGGCGACGGACGTTGACGGGCCGCTCGTGCACTTGGTGGGGTACTACCTGTGGACGATGAGCAGCGTCCCCGCGGACGAGGAGTATGCGCGGCATCGGGAGGCGGCCGTCCGTGGAATCTGGGACATGCAAGTTGACCTGGTCGAGGCGTGCGCGCGGGAGACCGCACCGAGGGTCGAGGTAGCAGGCCTAAAGTACCCGATGCTATGGCAGCCGGCGTACTCGCCGTCGATGCGCTCACTCGAACGGGAGCTGGCTGCGGGGTTCCGCCCCGGCGGGATGGAGCGGGAGGCGGCGGGCCGCACCATCCTCTCCGAGTTCATGCTGATCTCGACACGGCTCGTCTCGATCGGGTGGAGCCAGATACGGGCGGCGGCGACGGAAGCGACGGCCGGCGACGACGACGAGGAGGCGAGGCGCATGGGGAAGACCTTCGGCACGGTCCTCACACAGGCACGGGACTTCCTTTGCTGTCCCATCTCCTCGTCTCTTTCCCGCCTGGGCGGGGCAGTGGGCGGGCGCGCGGTGCGGCATGGCGTGTGTGTGTGTGCGACTGCAACGAGGGACCGCTCGCAAGGGACCATTGGGTTTATACTATTAACAGGTAGGTAGGTAGTAAGGTGAAGAACAGCCTATTTAGGTAGGTAGGTAGAAAGGTGAAGAACAGCCAGGCTCGGACTGGACACCAACGCGGTATGGGTGGACGCTGGACAGATGATGACGACACGCACGAGCGACACACAGACACAAACAGGCTCTTAACAACGAAGGCGCTCTCAAAAAAAAGAAAGCGAACTCGGCGCCATGAGCCGCGGCATCAGCCCGACCTCGCTCGCCGACCTGCGCCGGGGCAACCTGACCTCGCTGCGCGCCCTCCTCGCCGGGCGGACGCGCGGCGCGGCGCTCACGGCCCTGCTCGACGCGCGGCTCGAGGCCGAGAACCAGCACACGCTGCTGACCTACGCCGCTTGGCACGGGCAGGCCGACGCATTGCGGCTGCTGCTGGAGAGCGGCGCGAGCGTGGGGGCGACGACGGGCATTGGCTCCACCGCGCTGGCCGTCGCGTGCCAGAAGGGCCACCTCGAGATCGTCCAGCTGCTTCTCGAGGCTGACGCGGCGGTCAACCAAGCCAAGAATGACGGCACCACGCCGCTGAGCGCTGCGAGCCAGGCTGGCCAGATCGACTGCGTCCGTCTGATGATCACCGCCGGCGCTGCGGTGAACCAAGCAGACGCTGACGGCTTCACGCCGCTGTTCATCGCGTGCCAGGAGGGCCAGCTCGAGTGCGTGCGGCTGCTCCTCAAGGCCAGCGCGGCGGTCAACCAAGCCAAGAATGACGGCGGCTTCACGCCGCTGTACGCCGCGTGCCAAGAGGGCCAGCTCGAGTGCGCCCGGCTGCTCCTCGAGGCTGGCGCGGCGATCAACCAAGCCACGGGCCGCGGCGCCACGCCGCTGTTCATCGCGTGCCAGAAGGGCCAGCTCGAGTGCGCCCAGCTGCTTCTCGAGGCGCGTGCGGCGGTCGACCAAGCCAACGTCAACGGCGCCACGCCGCTGTCCGTCGCGTGCCAGCAGGGCCACCTCGAGATCGCCCGGCTGCTTCTCGCTGCTGGCGCGGCGGTCAACCAAGCCAAGCACGACGGCACCACGTCGCTGTACGTCGCGTGCTTCAAGGGCCATGTCGAGATCTGCCGGCTGCTGCTCGGCGCCAGCGCGGCGGTCAACCAAGCCAAGGACGGCGGCTTCACGCCCCTGCACATTGCGTGCCTGGAGGGCCACCCCGCCGTCGTGCTCTGCCTGCTGCGGGCGGGCGCAGACGCAGCGGCGCGCACCTCGGCCGGGCGTACAGCGCTGCAGCTGGCCAAGGAGGAGGGCCACGCCGAGTGCATGTGCGCCTTTGAGGCGGCGGCGAGGGAGGCGAAGAGAGCGGAGATTGAGGCGAAGGTGGAGAGGGCAGTGGCCGAGAGGGCGGCGGCCGAGAGGGTGGAGGCCGAGAGGGCGGCCGAGGAGGCTGCGGCGGTGCTGCTGGCGGAGGAGGAGTCGGAGAAGTGCGCCAAGGAGAAGAAGAAGGGCAAGAAGAAGGGCAAGAAGAAGGGCGGCGGGGGTGGCGCTGGGCCGTCGCAAGAGGCCGAGGCGCCGGCAGAGGAGGCAGCAGAGGAGGCGGTGGCGGCGGCGGAGGAGGCGGAGCTTGCGGCGGCGCTCGAGGAGAGCGCGAGGCTGGAGGAGGGGAGGCGGGCGGCGGAGGCGCAAGGGCCGTCCTCGGCTGCAGAGGCGCCGGCTCCGAGGGAGGAGGAGCCGCCGGCCGACTTCATCTGCCCGATCACGACCGAGCTCATGAGTGACCCGGTGATGGCGGCGGACGGGCATTCGTACGAGCGGTCGGCGATCGAGCGCTGGCTCGCGACCAAGTCGACGAGCCCGATGACGGGCGAGGCGCTCGTGCAAAGCTTCCTCGCCCCCAACCACACGCTGCGCCGGATGATCCGGGAGTGGCAGCAGGCGCGGGCTTGATCATCGGCGCGCTCTGGCGTCTGGGGGGTCGTGGGGACTCCGTAGACTCCGGGAGTGGCACAGTGCTGAGTGGCACGCTTTCTCGTCCCACCGTGCGGTGCACCGAGTCTCACTCTAATATCTCTCTTTTTTTAGCTGGTCCTACCGCAGGAACCAGGATAGGGGGGGTCTGGCCAGAGGACTACCCGTTTTGGCGAGCCCGCAATCGCCCCCGAGATCGCGCGAGTCTGCACAGCACCGCGCGGAGCGCGGTGGCATATCTCGGGGGCTCGGCGAGTCGCCTCGAGGTGGATGCAGGATGGTGGATGGGTTGGCGGTTGCCGAAGTTGGGTTCCAAGACTTGGAACCCAACTTGAAGTTGGGAGCGAGGGGGCGAAAGTGTTCAGTGCGGTAGATGGTGAGCTCGGGGCGCGTGAGCCGGACTTGGGGGCCGGTCGGCTTTCATTTCTCGCTTGCGTTCTCGCACATGGAGTGCGAGGTATCTCGAGTTCAGCGAAGGGGGACCGGGAGGCGGTAAGTCGTCGTCGCCCGGCGCTGCTTGCAGCACCATGGCGATGGCGCTAAGAGGTTCCTCTTTTCCGCGCCCCCCCCGCAAGGCGCGCGATACACACCGTTTTTACCCACCCACGCCCGTGCGCGCGTATCTTGGCTAAGGTACGCGGCCACACGCGCTGGCGCGCACGGCAACCGGGACTTACGCGCGCGACACGAGGGACTGTGTATCCTTGCCTTAGTGCCAGAGCGCGCCAGTCCCGTGCCTAGGGAGTTTCTTGTTGTGCCTTGGAGCACTTGGAGTGCAGTCATCAACCTCACGTCCAGGGCCGGGGAGCTAAGAAGCGCACCCAGCGGGCCGGATGGTCGATATCGGGTTGCGGGCAAGAGAGCCCTAGCCCTGGGGGTGCGCCGGGACCAAGGAAAATTTATCTCCAGACGCCGTAGCGCGCTGCCATGGTGGCCGCTGCCTAGGCAGCGGCCACGGTGGCCGACCCAGGGCTCCTACGCGGCTACAGCCGCGCGCGACCGCTGCCGCTGGCACCGGCCGCGAGGACTCTGGCCTCGGCATGCGCGCCACCGGCCGGTGGGCCGCGCTCCGCAGGACGACGCCTGGATGCAAAAGGCATCCCGTGCACGCTTCAGCAGAGCTCGGCCGGCCGGCCGCCGCGATGGGGCGGCGAGCACCTGGAGGCCCCTCCTGGCGCTGCTGTCTCAGCTCGACCGCCGGGCGCGCCGCGAGGCGAGCCGCAGCGAGGCGAGCCGCAGCGAGGCGAGCCGCAGCGAGGCGAGCCGCAGCGAGGCGAGCCGCAGCGAGGCGAGCCGCAGCGAGGCGAGCCGCAGCGAGGCGAGCCGCAGCGAGGCGAGCCGCAGGCGGCGACGGAGAGCTCGGCTGGAAGGGGGCCTATGTGCGCTTTGGCAACACGGAGACCGGGCTGCTCAAGTTGGTCAAAGGGCGCGGCAAGTGGTCTCCGTCGGAAGCGACGGCAGCGGCGGTGGCGGGGGAGGAGGAGGAGGCCGAGGAGGAGGGGGAGGAGGGGGAGGAGGAGGATGCCCCCAAGGGAAAGCTCACGGAGCAGCCTGGCGATTACCCCTTTGCGCGGCAGCAGGATTGCGATCTACGTTTGTTTGATTTTGAGGCTTTCGGAGGCTTCGGAAAGGAGGTTCGCAGCACCCTGAGGGAGGCGGCGAACCAGCTGAGCAACAAACTTTCGCACGCTCAGCACCTGGACGAGGTCACATGGACCACCAAGAACTGGCACGGGCTGCAGATGCAGCGCTTGTCTGTCGTCCTCCACACCGCCGTGGCGTGGCAGACGGTGAACGAGCTAGCGTGCGGGGAGAGCGGCATTGTGCATGGTGCGGAGTGCATTGCCGTTCTTAACGGAGTCGCTTAGGCGGCTCCGGTGGTGAGCCTGTGTGTGTGCCAGTCCGCGCCAGTCTGCGCCCTTGTCGTGCCAGTGTGCTGTGAGACAGGCTTGTGTCTTAAGAATTCTTTTCCTCGCGATGTCGACCCCGCCGCGCCGAGCTCGCGCCGCCTCGCCGCCGCCTCCGCCGCCGCGCCCTCGCCAGACACGCCGCCGCCCACCCGCCTCCTCGACCTCCCCACGGAGCTCATCTCGCGCGCGCCCTCTCTCAATGCGACCCCGCCGACATCGCTCGCGTTGCGGCCGTCTCTCTCCTCTTTCACGTGCGGTGGCTGTGCTTTGCGGCGTTGCTGCGCGAGTCGAACCCGCCGGCGAGGCTGGCGGCGGGCGCTTGGCACAGCCTCTTCATCGACGGCGAGGGGCGGCTCTCGTCGTGCGGCTCAGCGCCGTCCTTCAACCCAGGACTGCTTGGCCACGGCGAGGGCGTGACGCAGCTCAACACGCCGACCCGCCTCCCATCGACGCTGGGCGGCGAGCGCGCTGTGAGCGTGTCGGCTGGACGAGTCCACTGCCTCGCCCTCACCGGCAACAGCGCCCTCTGGAGCTGGGGCCGCGGAGCAGCCGGTCGCTTGGGCCACGGCGACGAGCAGAACCAGCTGCTGCCGAAGAAGATCGAGGCCTTCGCTGATCAGTGGGTCGTCGCCGTGTCGGCTGGACTTCACCACAGCCTCGCCCTCACCGCCGACGGCGCCGTCTGGAGCTGGGGCGGTGGAGGTGGGGGCAAGCTGGGCCACGGCGACTACCAGAACCAGTGGCAGCCGAAGAAGGTTGAGGCCTTTGCTGGCCGGCGCGTCGTCGCTGTGTCGGCTGGACTCGGCCACAGCCTCGCCCTCGCCGCCGACCACGGCGCTCTCTGGAGCTGGGGCTGGGGAGACTCTGGCATGCTGGGCCACGGCGACGAGCAGCGCCAGCTACTGCCGAAGAAGATCGAGACCTTGGCGGGGCAGCGCGTCGTCGCTGTGTCGGCGGGATACGACCACAGCCTCGCCCTCACCGCCGACGGCGCCGTCTGGAGCTGCGGCCGCGGAGGCGGTGGCCGGTTGGGCCATGGCGACGAGCAGGACCAGCTGCTGCCGAGGAAGGTCGAGGCCTTTGCTGGGCAGCGCGTCGTCGCTGTAACAGCTGGAG